GTGACAAAGGCCCAAGAAGGCCAGGTCCAGGGATTTGTTCCCCAGACGTGCTTGCTGGTGACACATCACAGCGCTGGGACAGGAGCACATGAGAGGCAGCCTCCATGTGTGCGTGAGCAGAGGCGGAGGACCAGAGCTGAGAGCTGGGTCCCTCCCGGGGGTCGTGGGGACACCTGCACAGCTCTTCAGGGCCACACATCAGAGGTGAACGTTGTGTGTGAAAATGAAGGGAGAACAAGACCCTGTATCTGCATAAAAACACCTCGAAGGGACGCCCAGGAGGGCTGGGGGTGGGGGCGCACTTCTCCCCTGTTCCATTAGCTTTGAGGAAGCCCCGGGCCTCACTCTCAGGTGCCCCCTCACCACCCCCTCCCCTTAGAAGGGGATTTGGTCACCCCCAGCGTCCTCCATGGGGACAGGACAGGTCACGTCACCTGTCCCGCCTCCTGCTCTATCTTCTCTACCCCCGGGGACTAGAGCCTAGCCCTCGGCTCCCGAAAGGTAGTGCCATGAATAAGTAACACATAAAACCCTTAACTCGTCCTCCCTCCTCTGCTGACTGTGGGGTGTGGACAGAGCACATTCCTGGAGCAACACCAGGCACTTTAAATTGGGATTTCTGGGTACAGGGCCCAGACCTCTGCATCGGAAACCTCACCTGAAGGAATTCTGCGGTGGTTAGAGAACTGGTGCCCTGAACGACGGCCCTGGGAGCTCACAGGGAGGAGGGTGGCTTCCTGCACCCCACCTTAGGGTGGAGGTCTGGAGAGGTGGGAGAGAGATCCAGCCCGGATCAGACAGGGCAAAGGCGTCCTCCGGGGGCTGGGAGCACAGGCCAGGAGGGCCTAGCCTAAGAGCCCTGAAGTGCGAAAGGGGCTTGGATGGAACAGGGGAGGGGTCAGGGAAGCCTCACACCCCGCGGAGGGAGCTGAGGGGCGTTCATCTTCTCAGACCCCCACACGTCCACCACGGTCATTCTGCCAGCCAGACAGAAGGGGTCAGAGGCCTGGATTCTAGCTCAGCCCTGTAAGCTGGGTGTGTCCCCACCTCACAGATACAGAAATCTGGCTCAGAGAGGAAACAGAACTTAGCCAAAATCACCCAGCAAGCAAGTGGCAGAAGAGACACTTGAATGCGGGCATTTTCTGCAGACCCAGTGAAGAGTCTGGTATATCAGTGTCTTACCTCCTCTAAGTCTGTTTCTTAGGTGTCAAGTGGACATAACAGGATGTAGAATTGAGCCACTCCCAGGTGCAAGCGGAGACGAGACAGACAGACGCTCTGAGAAGGGCAGGCACAGCGCCCACAGGGCAGGGAGGGAGGGAGAGGGCACAGAGCGCGGCCCATCCTGCAGCCCCCGCCCCACCCCGAGGGGGCACTGGAGAAGGTGAACTCCACGGACCCCGGGAGCAGACTGCTCCAGAGCGTGGGTGGTGGGAAATCGCCCATCTGTTCTGCGAAGCTGCCAAAATCTGAGCTCACCTCCAACAAAGACACCCAAAAGCAAGCTAGAGACAAACCTCAATCAGGAATCTGATGCAACCGTTGCATGACATAAATGTCCTACCCAAATCTGGGAGACTTGAATCTGGCCGGGGTTTAAAAGCGTAGCACCCCTGATCCACTGCAGTCTGGTTGTGTCCCAAACACCATCAAGACACGGAGCAAGAGAACTCCCTGTATTAGCTAATTAAATGAGGGACCACGTGGTTACATCAACAGGCCGTGAAAGGGGCTCTCCCTTAAGTTTATCAGCAATTCCTAGTGAAAAAAATCTAACTGAAATATGAATAAACAAAGAAGCAAGGCTGAATAAAGACTGATTTCCAAATCCAAGAGCAAACATCAGTTCCAGGTGCGACAGGAAAGACCTTCCACCGACACAGAGGCCCTGGATCGCTATCACCATTCAACGATGCTTTGCAAGTCCTGGCTGACACAACGGAAGCTGCAGTTAAATAAGCAACAGAAACGCTGGGAAAGCACAGTCAAAACCATCTTCATTCGTAGCCGCGGTGCGCCTTGAACACTGAGGAGCCTCTGCTAACAGGGGAACTGGGCAGACGCACAGTGGGAAGGAAGCGGCTTTCCCGCAGTGTGCTTTGTGGCTGCTCCGGATCGCCCAGCACCCTGTACACACTGCTGATAGTCCCTGTGCTGTGAACCCCACTTTTCTGGGTCTCAGAAGCTATATTCTGCAGCTTCCCAGCCCCGAGGGTGTCGCCGCATGACCTCGGTTCTGCCGGGGAGATGCAGCAGGCAACACCCCAGAGAGGCTGGAGGGCCGAGGGCAGTGCCCAGCCCGCCAGCCCCGCCACCCGGAGTGGCTCCTCGCGTCCTCCCAGTGGAGTCCCTTCTGAGATGCTCTGCCAACTCGGGCTCAGGGGTCGACTGTGTGAGCACAGTCCCAACTTCAGGTCACCGGGGGCATAACTAACCTTTCTCTGTCTCTTGAGACCCATTCTACTGGATGGTGGAAGCCTGATTGTCTTGGCCACGTCTTCTTTCCCAGGGCTGCATCCCATCGATAGCAGCGGGCACATTTCCTGCAATGCCCCTTTGGTCCTCAAGCACCCACCAAGACACACTGGCCGCCCCGAGTCGCCCACACCTTGCCTGCAGGCGTTGCCCCCAGCCTGTGCCCAGCTGACGGGCCCAAGGCCATCTGTGGCCCACCTGCCGCCACCCTCGTCCATCCCACTCTGAGGCCTCACCCCCTAGGAGTCTCTCTGGGACCCACACCGCCCTCCACCCCCTCCACCCCCTCCACCCAGGGGCACCTCTTGTTTACTTTTGGGAGGCCCCCCCCCACTCTGTGTCTGGAAGTCTTCTAAGGGTCTTCCCAGCAGACGTGCCTTCTCTGTCTCTAAGCTTGTCTCAGATAGGCCCGTGGCACGGTGGGTTGAAGATTTTGGACACACAGATGTCAGCCATCGAAGGGTCCCTGTGGCTCCCTCAACCCCTTCCCTGATCACCCTGCTGAAATGAGAACCCATGGGGACAGGTACTTCTGGAAAGAATGTCATGAAGAAAATGAAAAACGTCAGTTCGCCACACCACAAATGACCTGCTTAAAGGACGTGGGGGGAAGGGAGATCCAGTCCTACTTACGACACCACGGAACCGTAAATTACCTGGCAATAAATCTACCAAGGTGGATACAAGACCCGCACAAGGAAAATGATGAACTTGTGCAGAGGGACTAAACACACGGTGAGACACACTGCGTCTCTGGGCGGGAAGAAGCCCAACAGTGAAGCCATCTTCCTCTCCAACTTCATACCCAAGCGAGCGACATTCCAGTCAAAACCCTGAAGACTGCTGTGTTGGAACTGGACACATGGGTTCTAAAGTTTATCTGTAAGAACAAACTGTGAGAAGCCTCCAGAATCTTTTAAAATGAAGAGCCAGGCAGACACGTGCCTCGCCAGTTGCTGTATCTGTCTGCTGGAATCAAGCAGCTTGGTGGGGCCCAAACAGAGGCGCTCGCAGTGGTGGCAGGCCCAAAGCGCACATGCATGTGGGCACGTGCGTGCGCGCACTCACACACACACACACGAATTCATACTGTTACCAAGTGGAGCTCAAGTCACTAGAGAAAGATGGCTTGTCTAACAAACAGCATTGAGAAACACTGCCCACGGGTGTGGAAGAAGTCTGCCTCCTGCCACGTCGTAAAGAAACCCCAGGTGACTGGATGTCTGAATGTGGCAGGCAATCTGTGACAACGTTAGAAGAAAACACGGGGACTCTTTTCCTCAAATAAGGGTGGAGGACATTCTCCTAAGACCTGAAACTCAGAAACCATAAAAGGACAATTAGATTTGACCACACAGAACTTGAGAACATGCATAGGGACAGTAAAGACACCCAAAACAAAGATGCTGGGAAATATGTGCAAAACATACACCCTGGGAAAGACCGCGTCCTTAACACACAAAAGGGGCTTATGGATCATAGCAAAAGCAAATGCCACAGCGGAAGGATGGGCTAGGGATGAGATCAGGCAATCAGAGAAGAAACAGAAGTGGCTGGGAAGCACATAGGACGTTCAACCTCACCAATAACTTCTTAAGCGGCAATCAGAGTAAGATTCTACTCACCAGACTGGAAAAAGTCCTTAAAGCTGGACAAGACCCACAGTGACTGACGCGGAAGGAGGTGGTGTGACTGCAACTCGACCTTTTCTGAGGCACATGTTTCATTTTCAAGTAGATGTCCTCCCTGGCTCAGCTCCCCCATCCCAGAATCGACCCGACAGAAATAACTCCCCAGTCCCATGAGGACATGAGGACCAGGACGGTAATGGCAGCGCTGCAGACGAAAACGCCTGAGTGGACCCCCATGCCCACCAACAAGGGTGGCTGGCTGAGCCCCAGCTCGTTGGTCCAGGGGGCACTCAGCAGACACTGAGCGAAAGGTCTGTCCAGACGTGCTGGCCCAGGAAGGCGCCCTTGCTGAACGGTTCAGAGAAGGAATCCGTGGCACCATGGCTTTCCAGTGCCACGCACGTGCCCAGGGGCCGAGCCCTTCACACAGAGGGCGGGCTTCGACCCTTCTGCCACAGCTCGCAAAGGTGAGGACTCCTCAGAGGGTTTTGGAGGTGGGGCACACACTCAGGTCCACAGCTGAGGTGTCGAGGCCGGGTTATCAGGGCCACGCTGCCCTCCCTGGAAGCCCCCGTCCACTGCTAGTCGTGTCTTTCTTAAATAGCTGGAAGAACTTCACTCCTTTTTACGTTTTAAGCACTTCCCTTAAATAATCAATTCAGCAAAGATGGACGTAAAGGTTGGTGTGAACCCCAAGCCTGTGGGGTGGCAGGTCCACGTCCTCCCAGCACCACCAGGGCTTCCAGTGCTCCACATCTCCCACGGCTTCAGCTCCCAGCCTCCTCCGAATCCCCAGGTTCTCTCCAAGTCTCCCCTGAGCCAGCTGCCGCCTTCTACGCCACCCGTCAGCACCACCCCCTCCCCACGCTCTCGAAAGCAGCAGACACACTCGATGGGTAGAGCGCTTTACTGAGGCTTGGGGGGGTGGGTACATCGCAGAGCAGCAGAGCAAACTTAAAACGCAGCAGGAGGTGCCCCTCTGACAGGTCCCTCGGCCGTTTCCACCAGCAGGAAATTGACACCAGTCTCCAGCAACCCCACTCTTCTCTCTGGTTCACTCACCCGGGACCCCCAGACCCCTCTCCATCCCTCACGCAGAGAAGCCAGGTGGACGGATGCCAAGGCCAGCTCGTAGAGGAACTATCACTCTTTCCAAGGAGTCGGGGACCAAGGAGTGACCACAGGCCGGGCCAGCCACAGAGGAATGAAGAGGAAATAGCCAAAGACCAGATCCCAGAGAAAGCCTGGAGTGATCACTGGGTATCACGTGGTGAGCCTGGGAAACAGGACAAGCCACCTGGCCAGATGGTGTGGAGTCTGGGCTGGACTCGGGGTGCAGGGATGAACCGCAGACCCACTGCTGGAGCAGGAAGAGCCGGAGAAGCAACACCCTCAGGTTAACCTCCACTGGCCCTCCTCTGCTCCCTCCCACCGTAAGTGCCCAGGCCATTTGTGCCATCCCACACAGGGGCGTGGGCTTCCTCAATCCTGGTCAGGGGACTGCCTTTGAGACCCTGCCCATGGCACCCAACTCAGGGCGGGGTGGGGGGATGTCTGGTTCCCAGGCCAAGGGAGGGCACGCAAGGTCTGCAGGTGAGCCAAAAGCGGCCCGGAGAGCTCTCAGGGGAGCTGACACTCAGGGGCGGAGAGACCTACACACGGGGCATGTTTTGTTCCCGTGTGCGCGCATGCACGGGGGGCGTGGACGTGCCTGCACTGGGCGCGCTGGTTCAGGAGCTGGTGTGACGTGAACGTGTTAGTTTGTGCACACGGGGGCGCCTGTGGGCGTGAGCGTGTCGTGGGTGGGGAGTGTGCCCTCTGTGGACCTGGGTGTGAGTCTGCTCGTCCCATGTCCCTAACGTTTGCACACAGGGCTGCAAGGCCTCGCCCTCGGGCGCACCCTGTGATCCTGTTCACCTCAACTCCCACTGCCCCTCAGGCTGCTCCCAAACCTTACCAGGTCCATGTCCCCAGCAGCCCAGCGCACACACAGCCTGCAGAGGACCAGTGCCTGCCGCCCTGCCACTTGTGCTTTCTCTGCCAGGAAGCCCCCCAGCACCCCCACCCAGGCTCAGACCCAGGTCTCTGGACTCAAAAGTGACTTTATTTCTCCATAGAGGAGGCCCTCACAGCCAGGCTATCGGGCTGGGCCTGGCTCAGCCTGACTGCACTCACAGACCTAGGGTCCCAGCACCCTGCCGTCACCCCCAGCCTCCTGCTGGACGCCTGATTCCTGGAGATGTCCTGCTGGCTGAGATTTGGAGCTGTGGAGAGACAAGGAAGTCACGTCTGGGGAAGGGCGAGGGCCACAGACTGTGGAGCAGAGCCAAGGCTGCCCCCCTGCCAGCCAGGCCAGGCTGGGGAGGGGGCAGCCACAGGCTCGGGGGATGGGGACAAGCTCAGAAGCCCTGCGGGAGAGAGGGGACCTCAGGGCCCAGCCCAGAGGAGGGCGGGCCCCAGGCTGAGCAGGAGCCCCCCGGCCAGGGCCCAGGGGCTGCGCCCCGCCCGGGCCACACCGTTGCACAAATCCTTCTCACAGCAGTCCACGTCTACTTTCAAGATCCCAGAGTTAATGAAGCCCATCAGGTAGTCTGAGAAAAAGTGCCGCTTCACAAAATCGCAGGACGAGGCACACATCTTGTTCACGGAATGATCCTTCCTGCCTGGGGAAGAGGGAGGGGAGCCTGGGACTAGAATCCCACCCGGATCTCTCTGCCTTGTGCCCAGGACCCAGCCTAGGGCCCCTCCAGGTCAGCTCAGGACCCCAAAACAGCAGAACCCAGGCTTCAACCCACCCACGCTGTCCCCAGCTACATGGAAAGGGCCACAGAGGTGCCAGAAAGGGACAGGCACCTGCTCGCTATCACACAACAGGGCAGCGTCCTGCCGCAACCCATGCTCTTGCCTGAGGGCAGAGGGGCTCCAGGGATACCGCCGCCCCCCCCACCCCAGCGTGGGGCCTGACTTACTGCTGCTGGGGTCTGTGATCCGGACACTGGCACACACCGTGTCCGACGGCTGGCACTGCTTCGGGGTGCAGTGACTGGAGTTGGTGGTCAGTGTGCAGTCCTGGCACCACAGACCGTGAGCTGGGCAGGGCACAGGGAGGAGGATGGCCTGAAGAACTGGGGCCAGGCCAGTCAGCCCCCCGCAACCCCTTCACTTGCCTGCTGCAGGCAGGCCTAGGAGAAGCATGCAGCCCTAGGAGGCCGGGCACCCCTGACCGGGAGTGACCAGGCCGAACTGGCACCGGGAAGTTGTGGAGCAGGGCTGGGAGAACCCGTGAGCCTTGGGCACCTCAGGGCGAAGGTCCCACCACTGGGACTCTGGAGGCCCCAGTCCCCTTCCCTGGCCCCACACACGTGCATAGTGTGTGCACACGTAGCCACACGTATCACACCTATAGTGCCCTAATAGCAGTTGCGCACACACACCCCGAATCCGGTTGGCTCCAAGCTAGGAAGGACCAAACAGGTCCTGATGGGAGGCCAGGCGGTGCTGAGAAGAGATGAGCACAAGAACCCTCGCAACTAAGCCAGGGGCACCCGTGCAGGACGAGCTGCTGGACCAAGGCCCAGAGGAAAAGCACCCAGTGCCCCCAGGAGCCAGGACAGACCAGACTAGCTCTGGGGCAACACC